GGTGGTGGTGGAGACTTGTATTTGTAAACTGGGTGAGGTGGAGGTGGTGGGGATTTGTACTTGTAAACTGGGTGAGGTGGTGGTGGTGAGTAGACAGGAGGAGGAGGTGGTGGGGATTTATACTTGTACACTGGGTGAGGTGGTGGTGGTGGTGGCGACTTGTACTTGTAAACTGGGTGAGGTGGAGGTGGTGAATAGACCGGAGGAGGAGGCGGTGGGGATTTGTACTTGTAGACTGGGTGAGGTGGTGGTGGAGGTGGCGATTTGTATTTGTAGACTGGGTGAGGTGGAGGAGGCGAGTAAACTGGAGGTGGTGGGGACTTGTACTTGTAGGGATGAGGATGGGGGTGCTTAGGTGGTGGAGGTGGTGATTTGTAGTAGTAATGAGGAGTCGGTGGTGGTGGAGATGAATAAGAGTAGGTCGCTGTAGTCTCTGACGGCAAACTTAGAGAAACCAACACCGCTAAAGCAGCGATTACGTAGGAGGCCATTGAGGCCCCCCCGCTTCCTTTTCTTCCCATCTTCACTACCAAATGGGGTTTGGTTATGTCCTGAGATAGCCCTTCTCACCCCTTTATATAGCTTACCGATTTACCTCTCCTACACCTCTCAACATAACATAGTAAAATCAAATTAAGATTATAACCATTAATCTCTCTATCTATCTCTTTCTCTCTCTCTCTCTCTCTTGAATCTTAATATATTGAATACTTTTATTGACTAACTACTTCATTTACTTTTCCATAATTGTGATTCCTATACTTCCAAGAGACATGAGGCTGCAAGCTCAGCATCAAATAATTAAATAATATTAGATTATTTCTCTTGTGAAGCAAAAGTCTTCCTTGTATTCAGTATTTTTGTAGGGACCTTGGAAACCCTGTCTCTACCTCTAATTCAATATTAACACCAGTCTACTAGATCTCTCTCTCTCTCTCGCTCTCATTCACATTTTTCCGGGTTTGGGTATCCAATATGAAACTGGTGGATACAATGTAGGCAGAACCCAACACCCATGCACATAGCCATTATTCGAGTTGCATACGTGTTGAATAATCTGAACAGGAACCTGATCAACAGAACTCGACTGGGATCACAACAGGACCACTCTTTAACTCGTTTGTCATGCAGTCCGGGTCCGGATGAAGCTTTCGTGGCGTCTTTCCATCCATACTTGTATTATTCAATTCCTTCTACCCAGCTTTTCCACTGTTGAATTTCCGTGGGCCCATTTGCCTTTTCTTTTCGTCCCTCTCTCTTCTCTTTTTATTTTTTCTTCTTTTCCTTTTTATTTCTTTTTTTTCTAAATTTGAGACGACACCTCACACCTTCTTAAACCTTTTGTTTCTTCTTATTACTAAATTAAGCAAAATTAACTTTTCCTTTTAACAATCAGAAATTAATTAGTAATAATATACATAAATTAATGGATTGATATAAATAATTTTATGGAAGTAATTAAATCATGCACTTAACTACTCCCGACCCCACAACGTTGCATGTTTGATGCAAGGAGGCCAAGCATTCATACGCCATAATTGAATATATATATACATATTAAGACTAATCTGGACTGTAGCAAATACTAATAAAAAAAAATAGGGTCATTCACTTAGAAAAATGAAATGGGGGGAGAGAATGAGTTCAAGCCGGCCGGCTGCTAGCTGTGGGATCTGTAGCTACGCTAGTCATTGTTCCAAAAGTTTGTCCTTTGCATGGTCCAGACGTGGCAATGATAGAGAATTTTGAAGGGAGTAGGTATAGAGTAAAAAAAAGTAATTTTCAACATTAATGGCTGCAGAAACGCCATGCACGGATGGAGACTGGAGAGGTAAACTAAAGCGGGCGGGCTTTAGTTCTCTCAACTTTCAACTTTCAAACCTGAAAAGCTTTTCTGCTCATCCAGACAACTCTAGATAGCTACTCTAGTTTAAGAAAAATGCTGAGAAGTCACGGTGAATTTTAAACAATTTCGCTTACTTATAAGCTAGTAGCCAGCTATCACCACTAGTTTATCTCATCACAGGGCAGTTTACTTCCAAACGGACAAAGTCTAGATCATTGATTGCATGACGTACGTAGTTGGTCCATTAAGCTTCACATTACATGTTAGTCAGTCACGTATAGCAAGCAAGTAGCAAGGTTAGGTGGTAACAGTGTTTAAGGGTTTTTGTTCTTTTCTTCATCTTCTTTCTCATCCAATCATACAAATCAGTATCAGAAGAAATATCAATTTGGGCCTACATATGTGTCACGTTCTCTCACTCCTCGGAGCATGTTACCCTTAGACTTGTAAAAGCTTTTTAAATTTTAATGCATTCAAAGCCCAAACATAAATAATTCTTCCACTATTATTTTAGAATTCACCGACACTACTCTATGCGCTGATAGGTAGAGACAGAGGTTTGACTTGGTTAATTACTTCATTTCGGGTCGGGTCGGGTCTGATTTGATAAATACCGGTCCTATAGGAAATGCAGAACCGAACCCAGGTCTAGATAAGGTTGATAAAATAAACCTGATCTAGAAGCTACTGAGAAGCTGCAAGGGTCTTCTTATTAAGGAAACAAATTAAATGAAAAAACTAATTAAGTGACTGGTTACAGACAGTCAGACGTATAATCTCCAGAATTTCTGCACCAAGTGACTAATAAGGTCAGAGTCAGACATGAACCCATGTTCTCCTGCTTATTAACAGAGCAAGTAATCGCTCCTGCTATTAGGGTATTCTTAAAATAATCTTATAGTTCTGATATTGAGAGAAGGCTCTTTACTTATATGAAATGGCTAACAGATTTTGGGCTATATTATATTCATATCATTTTGTTTATTGGTCTTGATATAAGAACAGGTATCAACCCTATTATTTTGGGAGGATATATCTGTTTAAGTGTTTAATAATAAATAAATAACCAGTAGAAATTGAAGTATATATATATAATAATAATAAGAAATGACACTTAACCATATATGTTAATGTTATATGGAGGAAACTAAAAAGGGAGGCTGGAGTCGTCTCACCTCAATTAATGTTCACACAAACCTCAACCTCCTCTCCATTTTTATATATGTGGTCTAGTTATTTTTAAATTATAGTGTAAAAAATCACAATAAATGCTCTTTCTAATAAAATCATTTCTCTTTCTCTCTCCCAAATCTCTCTCAATCTCCTTTAGCTCTCTCTAGTACTAAAGGGGAAATGATTTTTATTAATCTAAGGCCCTGTTTGATTCATAGGAATAAGGGTCTAGAATATAAATCAGAATGGGCTATTTCGATTCCAACTGTTTGGTTGGATAGGATTGGAATCGCATTCCCATTCCTACTAGAATGGCATTCCCCCATTTGAGGGAATGGCCATTCCCTGCCCTTTCCTTGGGAATGAAATTCTATTTCTGTTGATTCCAATTCTCAATCCATTTTTGTCTAAACCAAACAGACTATGACTATTGGAATAGATCATTCCAATTCCCATTCCAAAGAATTTTGTTTCTGATTCCAACTATGAACTTAATGTAACCCTAAGTTGAATTGCATAAACTCAATTAGAAAAAAAAATGCTTTTTTCAATTACCAAATTTCTTTAACCAAATGAAATTCAAGGTAATTTCTATGTTTAAACACCTATTCATGAGAGGATGATGGTCTAAACAAAGCATAGACGACAATAACACATTTTTTCAAAAATAGGAAAAGTTGGGCTAGCTTTTTGAAAATGGGGGTGGTAAGTAAAGTTTATCCTTTTATATTAAGTTAGATTTGGTTGGTTAGGTAAACAGAGAGGTATATGTCTTTTTTATTAATTTATTTCATTTATTTGTTCCTATTTAGGCGATTTCTTTGACAAATTGGGAACCACCCATTTATTTGTTCCTGTTTAGTCCTACCCCTATATGCTAGATAGTGAAGGTTTGGCAAACACAATGACAGCAAAAGTAGCGGGTGATGAAATTACGGGTCGGATCAAGAGTTCACATATCCCATCAATTTGATTGATCACTGTATCATAAATAATGCTAGGATGAACAAATTTTCTAGGTAGCTTAGCTAGTAGGGAATGATTTGGATGGACGTACGGGAGAGGTAATATCATATATGGCTTGATGGATCAATATCTTATACCAAAATTTTATTCTTCTCTTTGTACCAGTGAAGCCAGTAAGATCAGGAAAAGAGCTTAACATTGCTAATTGATGTTAAATAAGGCCTGATGAGACATCTAATCCAAGTACGTAAGGTATATTATTTGCCTGTGCTTACGTTTGATCAAATATTTTGCTAGTACAATTGATGCATGCAAGTATATATTGATGGTGGTGAAGTCATGAGTCAACAATGAAATATGTTACCTCACCTTTCTAAGGTCATTTTAATCAAGTTCTAACCCACTGAAAACGGAGCAAGAGTGAACAGGGTTTTACGAGTGTGATTGACAGAGACAATGACACCATGTGAAGTGGGAAAGAATCACAAAAATAAATAAATAAGATAAACTAATTAATTAATGTACCAGACTTAAATTTAAATAGCATATAAAATGAGCTCTGACCATTTGACTGAGTCACAAATTTGGACCAAAGAAGCCCACCCATTGAACCGGTCCCTAAACTAATATCCCAATGTCCAAAAATACCGGATGATTATTCATTACCCATGTAGCCAGCCAAGTTCATTGGATGCTAATAACCAACATCTTGTGGGGTGATTGATGATACTTCTTGGTTGTGTTGCTAATTGGGGTAGGCCCGGGTCGACCCCACCGGGTCCGGTCCAGATTTTAAGACGTACGGTACAATTGATAAAGCTAGTCAATATTTCATTTCATCTCAGTTCGAAGTTGAACAGTGAGAAGCAGAGTTTAATAGCTACCAAGTGTTCGAATAAAGTCCCATAAAGACGACTTGGGAAGAGAGAGAGAAAAAAAAAAAACAAGCCTCTTATGATTGCCTCGGCATTCAATGCCTTATCGCAATCTCGTCAGAGCTATCGCTACGAGGCAAGCTGTTGGGCTTGCAATGCATGCGACCTTGGACCACTCAAGTCGACGATCCCATTTTATTGCAGAAAAGCATAGAGACGGCCAGGTTTTCAAATCACAGCAGGCAGGCAGATGCCATGCACCGATCGTGCAGACAACTCTGATGGCAACAATTAATTTGGATCTCTGACTAAGTCAGACAGCCATTAATATGCATAATATCTAACATTCCGAGACGAGTTTTCAGGCCGTCGACAGACCAGAGCAGATCTTTATGCCCCGTCTCGCCCCTTCGGTGTGGTTACCAGTCAGGGCCAAACTCCATGTGTCTAGCTACCAGCCACTGGATGGAGGATCAAACTGGGATATGGACCACCCAATTTTACTCCATAAGTTCATATTATTAGAGAAATACGTTAAGTAGTTGTGGGAGAAAAAGACGAGATACAAACCCAAATAAAAGCTCTGAAAGCACATTACGATACACTTTGCTAGCCAATCAAAAACTGCTGC